TTGATCAAGGTTGACTCTAATTGTAGTCACAGCGTCCACGAAACTAACAGCAAAGAGATCAATCTTGTCCTGGAAAGGCTCAGATAATATGAAGGATGGATCACCAGAACATACTTCCTGGAAGAGAATCTTCGCTTGGCGCTTCTTATCAGAGTCATTGATCAATTTCCCATAGCCAAGTTCCAATAAGTTAAGGAGCTGTTCCCATTTAGCTTTGGCTACTTCTTTGGGAATTTCGGCAGACATTGATAAAGCTGGAGATTCTGAAGAATCAGGAGCTATTGAAGAGCTAGGATGAGTACCTGCTAATATCCTCTCCATTTCCACCTGTTCAGCCTGAGAAAAAATTTCTATCTTGGCAGGTGGACTGGGTACAGCATAAGATGTTTAGGGAGGTAAAACAGTAATTGCATAAGAAGCAGGTGGTAGTGGCACACTCAAGGAGTCCTTAGTCGATGCTCCTTCTGAAATTGGAGTCCCTTGAGGCGTAGAAGTGGATTTATCAGTAACTGCAGATATCGGCATATGTATATCAGACAACAGCATAAAATCTTGAGTCAAACAAAGGGTAATAACATTTACCAGTGAGAGCTAGAGGAAGATCTTTTTCAGATCTCACAACATTGGCAGAAATATCCTTTGTTGGTGTACTCTCTTTAGGATCTGGAATAGAGGGTTGATCTCGAACCAACTCAGCATTAACATCTGTCAAAGGAGCAGGGATCACTAGTGAAGGATTGGAAACTGATGTGGCAGGAGTCTTGCTAGGAGAAGAAACAGGGGAAGCAACACTGGACTGATAGGTCTTAAGAGTTCCTGGATTGATCAGAAGATATAAAAATTAATGTTAATATACACATTGGTAGCCTCCAGAAATAAAGCATGAGAGTTACCTTTCGGAGTGTACGGCTTTATCATAGCTCGAAGTGTGGGCTCTGGAGATTGAATCAATGCTGGAGGACCCTCTGGAGATGACTCTGAGGATCAAATAATTACTCTCCTAGTACCACGTTTTGTTGGTACTTTCTCTGAAGCAGTTGAATCTGAAGCTTTCCTTTTCTTGCTCACTGTAAGAGTAAGAAGTCAGATGGAGGGTTGGGTGCCAAACAAAACATATATATATATAGATATCGAAAGGCAGAATTAAGTTACCTTTAGAGGGCTCTGTTGGCTTAGTTGAAGGCATATTTGCAGCTTCGATTGTTTTTGGTACTGTAAGAGGAACAGCATCTCTTATCTTCAAAAGAATATGATCCAGAGGATCTGAAAATACAGTCTTTCGATAACCATTCCACCAGAAATCGAACTCAGCTGAAGAACAATCAGGGCATCCAGTGAATTCGGTAACACGAGACAATCGATAAATACCCCGTACCAGTGTGGTTAGCTCACCAAAAGGTTGATCATCTTTCAGTTTGCAAGATATTTTATCGAAAGAAGCAAATGAGAAAGTATAAAGGGCTGGAACAGGAATCCCTTGAATCAACCCAAGTTGTCTGGCACAGTACTGGGGAGAATAAATTTCAAAGCCAGCAACGAACCTGCCTTTTGTTAAAAATCTCACAGGGAGATCAACAGAGGTCAGACCAATCTGCTAGAAGTCACTTTTGTTCTTCTGGAAGGAAGGAAGGTAGGACTTGAATTGGGGAACAAAAAAAGAGAGAAGGAATATGGATTCTCTTCAATAGAATAAATCTGAGAAATAAAGTACCGAAAATAAGAAGATGGCTCTTTGGAAACAGGGACCAATTTTCTGCTCAAGGCTTGGCAGACTGGTTGGTCAGGAATGTAAACCGAAAGGGATTGGAGAACTTGATCCTTGGAAAATCAAGCAGGGAAATAGAAAGCTGCCGATGCTTGAAGAAGCCAAAGAGGACCACCAAAAACTCCACTAACTTCGTCTGAAGCAATGGAGGAGGAAGCATGGGCTAAACCCCGATATAACAGGGCCAACATTATTTTGCCTAGGGCAAGTGAGGTCCCTGAAGCTAAAGCAGAAGCAACAGCATCAAAATCGTTTGAGACCCTAACTATAGGGTGGCAGAAAAGGAATTTACAGAGCCAGTACAAAAGAAAAGCAGTATGCTCCTCGTCGGTAACTGTACTTTCCTTCTTAAAGTATTTCTTAATGAATGCCCCATAGGCCATTTCAGAATCAGACAATTTACCAAGCAGCGAACGAGAATTGGGAGACAGGGTAGATGGGTCTGTACCTAAAGGAGAAAGCACAGTAAGGCAATATATGTCAAGCAAAGTTACCGACATAGGAAAAAAAGGGAAAAAAGAAGCAATTAGTGGAAGTCGACCAAAAACAGGACAATGCGCCGATCAGTTCGTGATTCAAATGGTAATCGAAGCAGCTAAGACGCAGAGCATTATGAATCAAAATGGTATCCCAAAGAGAACCCTTAGAAGGAAGGAGTCGAAGGTACCATTGGTAGAAATCAGGCTCAAAGTCAGAAAAAGCCCTAAGGCGAGGGGGACGAGAATGCCACTGATACGCCAAGATAGATGATTCGTGGACTGGAAGTACCTCAAATTGGTGACGTGGGAAGTGGCTTGACAGGCATTTTGGAACAGAGAAGTGATTGTGAACTGCTGGGCCAAGGATGTAAGAATCTTTGTAGTCGTTCTCCACAGAGAGCAGATGAAATTCTTCAATAAAATCCTCGGAATCTCGGAACAGTTGGTACCGGTCAAGGACATATGATGCGGAAAAGGAAAGAGTTTGATCATTGGAAGCTTTGGAAGCCATTAGGTTTAGACGAATGTTGGGAGAGATTGCAGAAAGTCGAGAAGTTGAGGATGCAGAGGAACGAGGAAAGGAACGATTTTTAGAATAAGTGTTTTGAAGACGAAAGGACAAGCACGTGAAGCGAGGTGACGAAACGACAGCAAGAGTAAAAAGTAAGTACCTTTTTTCTGGCATTTAAAAGAATTAAAAATTCTTTTAATCCTTTTAAAAGGGGGCATCTGTTGACACCAAAATAAGAATCGGCATAGACGCTGAGTCGGCTTTAATGCCGAATCTGGTGTATAATGGAAATCAGCCATCTTCCGAAATACGTTTGGATAAAATTCGGAAAAATGCTGGGAAGCAAGCGTGAATGACATTATATCCCGAATTCGGTGATTGGTGAAGATCGGTATATTTACCAAAACATGGAAAGTCATAGTTCGGGAGTTAAAAAAAAGCATTAGAGCCATTATGCCTCGGGACGTTGACTCTTTCCCGAAATTCGGGAAGTCTATACTTCGGGAATATACCGAAATTACAGAAAATCCGTAAAGATGAATCACGGCCCAGCCACGTAAATCATGATAGCAGGAAGTTATGAGCAAAAAGCGGAGATAGTGAGCACGAGCAGATTGTGGGGAGTTGCTTGTCCAAATTTGAAGTCGTCGCAGCGGTTGAGATCAAGTTTTGGCGGACAATGAATTTGGAAAAACGTGGTTAGATAAGGCAGTTATTGGAAGCGCCAAGATTCAAAGTTTGAAAACATAGAAGTAACCGACAAGCAGTTACAGGATATGAGGAGATACAAATACTCAGAAGAAAGAAAGAGGAAGGATCATCAAGAACAATGCAAAAACACTCAAGCTTATCTGCACTTAGTTTCCTAGGGGGAAGAACAGGAGAAGTGCCAAAAGTTGTGTACGGAGCTCACTTTGGTGCCAAAAGTTTCAAACGAATCACTTAAGTGCCAAAAGTTTACGCCGGCGATCAATTAAGTGCCAAATCGGAGAAAAAACGATCACTTAAGTGCCAACGGCGAGAAATTCCGACCAAATTTAATACGTGACTTTTGTATTTAAATTTTAATGACACGTGGAATTTCCACGTGTATAATTCAATTTTTTAAATATTTTTTTCTGATTTTTTTTTCTTTTCTTTTTTCTTTTTTCTTTTCTTTCTTCTTCTTCTACCATGGCCAGTGGCCGGAGGCCAGCCACCGGCCTCGCCGGGCGTCTCCTTCCACCGGGCGAGGCAGTCGTGGCCTCGGCGAGGGCCGGCCTCGCCTGATCTGGCGAGGCGAGCCCTCGCCAAGGCCACGGCGGCCTCGCCGAGGCGTCGCCTTCCTCCAGGCGAAGCTCGACGAGGCCGCCGTGGCCTCGGCGAGGGCTGGCCTCGTCGGATCCGGCACGGCGAGCCCTCGCCAAGGCCATGGCGGCCTCGCCGGATCTGGCGAGGCGAGCCCTCGCCAAGGCCACGGCGGCCTCGCCGAGGCGTCGCCTTCCTCCGGGCGAGGGCCGGCCTCGCCGGATCGCGAGGCGAGCCCTCGCCGGGCTCGCCCGCCCGGGCGAGGTCGACCTCGCTTGGGCGGGCGAGCCCGGCAGGGCTCGCCTCGCCAGATCCGGCGAGGCCGGGCCTCGCCGAGGTCACGGCGGCCTCGCCGGAGGAAGGCGATGCCCGGCGAGGCCAGCCATGGCCGGTGGCCGGACGCCGGCCATCGGAAATAAGAAGAAAGAAAAAAAAAAAAGAAAAGAAAGGAAAAAAGAAAGAAAAGGAAAAAAAAAAGAAAATAAATGCCACATCAGCCTCCGGCGAGCCACATCAGCTTGAGAAATTAACAAAAAAAATGCCACGTCGGATTTCCGGCGATGTGGCACTTAAGTGATCGTTTTTCACAACTTTTGGCACTTAAGTGATCCGTTTGAAACTTTTGGCACCAAAGTGAGCTCCGTACACAACTTTTGGCACTTCTGCTATTCTTCCCCCTAGTTTCCTATGTACCTTAACGTCCTGCATTTACAGCTTCCTGCAACTTTAGTTAACTTTCAAGTCCTTTACGGCTTTCATAGGAGTATTGTAACGTAGCTTGGAACCTTGTTGATGTCAGATCCTTTTTCAATCCATTCGATTTCAATGCGTTCCATACAATCCTTTGCTACCCTCTGTTTTTCGCCACAACTCTCTTAGAAATCAAGCCACATAACCTATCTTAATAAAAACCGAAAATCAAAGTTTCGGTGAAAGGTATTCCTCGTCGTAAAACGAGCGAACAGGAGGGAATTCAGAGGGAAAAATGTGTTGGTGGTGGGTTGTGGTAACTCAGGAATGGAGATTGCCTATGATCTGTGGAGCTATGGTGCCAACACTTCCATTGTTGCTCGAAGTCCCGTATGCAAACTCTTTCTATAATTCATGCATTTTTCCTTCTTTAGTACGGGATGGAACTTACAGAATTCTTCATCTTTTTGAGGAAATTCAGTCGTGAGTTGATAGGGGGAATCTCTTGCAACAAACCAGAGAAATTCGAATTGGCAAACGACTTAATGGACATATAATAGAGAGCAAATGAAAGCCTTATTTCTCTTTGATAGCTATAGATAACGGCAAAGTTTTTTCATGAGCTTAATGGCCTAATGACGAGGATTTGCAGGTACATGTTGTTACCAAGGAAATGGTGTTTCTTGGTATGGTCTTGTTAAAATTTCTCCCATGCCGAATAGTTGACACCTTCGTGATACAACTCAGCAATCTAAAATATGACGACTTCTTCAAGTACGGCCTTCGGATGCCGGAAAAAGGTCCATTCTATCTAAAAGCAGTGACCGGACAATCCCCCACCATCGACGTCGGGGCAAGGAAGAGGATCAAGAAGGGAGAAATCAGGGTAAATCAAGGAATTATAGGCTTGTTTTCTTTGAAATTTAGTTTAAAACATAATCAAAAACATGTTAAACCTTCTCAAGTTATAATAAAGCAAATGGTGTAGGTTTTCCCCTCCATCAAAAGCATTAACGGGAAGCTGGTCACATTTGTAAATGGCACTACCAGTCAATTTGAGGCCATAGTCTTTGCCACTGGCTACAAAAGCACTGTGCGGAAATGGCTCCAGGTACATTTTCTTTATATTTATCTTTTTTTGGTTAAGCCACTTAATAGTGATTGATTTATATACATTTGCAACTTTTCCCGTTGAATCTTCATATTTATGGTAACTTAATTAGGGTGGAGATGACCTCTTCAACAAAGACGGCATGACCAAGGTCCTGCGCCAATGGAAAGGAGAAAATGGCTTGTACTGCACCGGTTTTGCTCAACGGGGTCTGCTCGGCATCTCTGCCGACGCGCACAATGTAGCAGACGATATCAGTTTCAAACTTCGATGCGATAGGAAGTGTTCGCAACGGAAATAAGAAGCAATGTTGTCCGTGCAACGATATGCTTGTATTAAAAATAACAAAGGATGTACGATAACGTTGCGATATAAATGGAAATCAAGCTTTATCATAGTCAAAATCAACGAAGTCATTCTATTCGTAGATCAGGGATTTCTGAAATTTCAACTTTCTCTTTTGAATTTTCTTTCTCTGATGTTCTGAAATCTGAGCGGTTTCAAGTTGCTTACCCACTATGATCAATGGTACTCTATGCAATAAATTGGTCTAAAAACGAAGTGATCCCTCGAGAAAGTTATGTTTTATATATACTTGGCTTGCCTATGTGTCCACTATCAAAACAGGAAAGTTGTCCTAGAAGTTAAAGTACAACCCAAATTGGGAATCCAGGTGATGAAACATATGGCCATGCATTGAATGGGAATGTACCAAGATAGCTTTTTAGTATCAAGTAAATCTGACCAAGAACATTGAACTCGAGGCAAAATAAATGTTCTATATGGCCAAATTTTGATTTGCAAGGGCTTACTTGCCCAATATTGGGATCAAAATAAGATCTGTGGCAATCTAATACTAGCAAAAATGATTTGACAACCTCTTAAAACAAACACTCTCTCTCTCTCTCTCTCTCTCTCTCTCTCTCTCTCTCTCTCTCTCTCTCTCTCTCTCTCTATGGAAAAGACAAATTTTACATTCCTTATTGAGGTCGTGCGAAGCCATGTCCATGTTATTCAGACCCTAGTGAGAAAATAATTTATACACTTGTCTCAAAAAGAAAAATCTCAGGAAATGCATTTTTTATTAAATACACATAGAACAAAAGGTGAAAAGGCGCAATTTCTGCCTAGTATTTGTACTCTTCGAAGGACAAGACGGTTCACAAGACATACTAGTTGTGGACGAGAAAATTGTCTAAAAATCATAAACTTATTACACTTTTACGCTTTCAATTATAAGCATTTCAATGTTACAAATTGAGTTCTAAACATTTTCACCTTATGCCAATTGAGTTCATCAGTCCAGTTTTGGCCGGAAATTGCCGACATGGACACTGGTCATGCCACATGGGGCGGCTGGCGCTAACGTGGACAATTTTTAATAATATTTTCATATTTTTTGAATTTATTTATTTATTATTTTCTTTTTCCTTTTTTTCTTTTATTTATTGTTTTTTTCTTCCCTTCTTTCTCCTTTAGCCGATCGCTGGGCGTTGGTGATGGCTGACGACCGATCAGAGGTGAGGACCGGCAAGGTCGACCTCGCTAGTGGCCGGCGGAGCGAGCTTCGCAAAATTCTTTGGCCCAACGATCGGCTAAAGGAAATAAAAAAAAAACCAAAAAGAGAAAGAAAAGAAAATTTGAAAAAATACTATTAAAAATTATCGACGTTAGCGCCGGCCACGCTACATAGGACAACCAGCATCCACGTCAGCGATTTTCGGATAAAATTGATCGGATTGACTCAATTGGCAAATTATGAAAATGTTTAGAACTCAATTGACAACATTAAAAGGTTTAGGACTAAAGTGGCAAAAGTTCAATATGTTCAAGACTTTTTGAACAATTTTTCCAGTTGTGGAGACGTGGCAAATTTAATGGGGGCGATAAGGTAACCGTTAGTGTGCGTGTGAAAGAGAAAATAGTACGTAGGCTCGTCCCTTTGAATCCTCAAAAGCAAAGATGACCCTTTTAAATATTTTAAAAAAAATTGAAAATCAATAAAGATAATTCATTTTTTTAGAAAAGGGCATATGTTTAAAAAATACTAATCAACTCTTTATAATCGATAAATAGTGACGCTCGATCGGTTAATCGAGTTTGGTTAATAAGACTGGCATGGGGCAAATCGACAAGTACTATGGCTCGAGTATCGATAACTACACGACGTTCATCGACGACCATGTGGCATAGTTGTCAAAGAAGGGTGAAGGACGATCAACAAGTATCGAGATTCAGCTATAAAACTTATGGATGGCCTATTACCGCGAAATTAATCAAGCGTTGGATATAGGGGAAAGAAAAGGCATGGACCAAAGATGTCGAATGGAGGCACCGGCACGAACTGACGGTTAAATATCTCGGTGGTTTTAAAAGTTGTAACTGCTTAACGATAAGGTCGACATGCAAATGGGGAGTATTGAATCTTGGGAAGTGTTCGACCAAACAAAAAATCTGGGAAGTGCAGTAGTAACTACTTGTAAGTGGTTTTAATTAGTGGATTATAAATATAGGCGGCGTGTAATCACGGGGGATCATCATCGCAGACACAACCTCCCAAAGGTTAGGCGGGATCATCTTCAAAGGCACGACATCCCTAGAGCTTCTAACCAACGTATTAGTAATTTGTTTTCTCCATCTTCATGCACGTTTACCATTTCCAGAACTTTTACTTTACGAGCTTGCATTTTATCTTCACTTTAGAAGCCAGACCATTTCCCTAAAAAAAAAAAATTCAAAAAATTTGCTTTCGGTGAAAGGTTTTTCACTATGCAGATAAATCCCTGTTTTTGGGGAAACACGTGTTGTCCGTTATGGAAAGATACAAGGTAATTTTACACTAAAGAATCGGATTACCATTATTCCTAGTGACAATAATTCTATCGATAATCATTTTTACATCGAAAAGATTTATTAAACTTCACAGGACTTTTTGTGCCCGTTCAAAGGTTTTTTCTTGAGTATACAAGGATCGATGTGTGTAAGCGAGACCTGAATAAGGAAAAAAATTTAAAGAAGTATATCAATAGGAAAAAAAAATCCATTCAAAAGGATCTACTTTGGGTAAAAGAATTCAATCCGTAACTTATATTTTTCCTATAATAAGTCGTCACATGATTGCTTTCTTTAATGCAACTCCTTTAATATTTTTTCCAATTACGAAAAATAACAACCAATGCCGAATTAAGATAAGTTCCTATAAAAGAACAATTTTGGATACGGATTCCCATGTACGGCACGTAGATTGACATTGCCGAGTCAAGTACAAGGTAAACGTATAAATTAGGAGAACCAAATGTGGTACACAACTCCGTTTGGAGAATGAAATCTGGCATTTATGAATGTCCGTACATTAGACAGTTATTTCCTCGTATGTGATGCAGAATCTATTAGTGGTGCGTTTCTGGACCGATTGGACAGGCAGAAGTCCAAACGGAAGGCGAAACGGTGATGTGACTAGAACTAGCGAACCCGGTTGGCGACATCGAATCGGGCTCAAATTCGGTGCTTTGAAGCAAAACGGCGATCTAAACACAACTCACGGCCTCGTGACTAACGACGGATTTTAGCGATTCGGGATCGTTTACATGGGTTTTTCTATTATTTTAATATTTTTTATGGGTTTTAATTTTAAGGGCAGTTTTGTAATTTTGATATTTTATGCTTTATAGTCCTAGTAAGGTTTGGTTTAGGGATATATATAAGCTTGTTTTAGGGTTATTTTTGAAGACCAGAACATTATCATCAATATTAAATTTCGGGATTTTTTTCCCTAAGCAAGGTTTTGCTTGAATTACTCGCTGAACGCTGCGTCAGTATGGACTTATTCCCAACATGACAAGTTCTAAAGAAGAGTCAAGCTGGATAGTATAGTTCTGAAGTGATGTTCATACTCTTTAACTTATTTTTTTTTTTGGTCGGATACACTTAACTTTTTTTGGTTTTTTTGGTCAGAATCGGATACACTTAACTTAAATGGCCAATCTTTACCTGCCTATTCGATTTCTTGCTAGAAAATCAACACTGAATATAATAAAGAATCCAAAGTACTGTCATATTAGGAAGAGGATTAATGGCGACTGGATACGATTTTTCATTTTTTACAACATTGGACCTGCCAATTTAAACTAAGATGGACCTTTCTATATTAGCTAAAATTAATTTCGACACGTGCATACAAGGGCGTACAAAAAGCGCACGAGCTTTTATCTGCCGAAACCACATCCGTGAGAACACTATCGCTGCTGAATCAAAGAGAATCAAATCATCCATGGAAAAGGCCAACGAGAAAGAGGTTGTGGTGGCCATTGTTGGCGCTGGCCCTTCAGGCCTATCGGCAGCGGCATGCCTGAACCGCCTTGGCGTCGCCAATGTCGTGCTCGAGAGAGAGGATTGTTCCGCCTCTCTTTGGAGAAGGAGGTCGTACGATCGATTGAAGCTCCACCTGGCCAAGCAATTCTGTGAGCTCCCCCACATGCCCTTCCCCTCCAATTCACCCACCTTTGTCCCTAGGAACCAATTCGTCGAATACCTCGACAACTACAAGTCGTATTTCGAGATCAAGCCGTATTACCGACGGACCGACGAGACCACGTCGTACGAAGACCGAATCGGCAAATGGCGGATCGTGGCAACAAACATGGGCTCGGGCGAGCAGGAGGTTTACGTGGCGGAGTTCTTGGTGGTGGCGCGTGGGGAGAACAGCGAGGGCGTGATGCCGGAGGTCGATGGCTTAGAGAGCTTTGGCGGGTAGGCAATGCACTCGAGCAACTACCGGAATGGGAAGGAATTCAGAGGAAAAAACGTGTTGGTGGTGGGCTGTGGGAACTCAGGGATGGAGATTGCATACGATTTGTGGAGCTATGGTGCCAACACTTCCATTGTTGCTCGAAGTCCCGTATGCAGACTCTTTCTATAATTCATGCATTTTTCCTTCTAAGTTGGTGATAGATCAACCATCTTTATGAGATTTATTCAATTTCATGCATGCAAGGAATGCGCTAGCATTAGTTGCCTATTTCTTTCATAGTTCATTTAGAATATATGCCGACACAAATGACTGGGAACGGAGCGAGAGGATGACATGCTTGTCAATGAACATTATAAAATGTTCATGAGGTTATATGACCCGTTAAGTGGCGAATAAATTTGACACTATCAACAATAAATCTCATATAGTATTTGCTACCCATATATTCAAATAATCATATTCTATAAATAACAAGTATAAGCTAATAAAGAGGATTTGCAGGTATAAGTTGTTACCAAGGAAATGGTGTTTATTGGCATGGTTTTGCTAAA